ACAAGGAAAAAAAAGCCTATGTGTTAAGAGGTATATCTTATAATAAAAGCAGCTTTGTGGACTGGAAAGATGGCTCAGCAGTTAAAATCACTTGCTTTTCTTTCAGAGGACCAGAGTTCCCAGCACCCACAAGATGGTTCATAACCTTCTGTGACTCAAGTTCCAGGAAATCCAAGCCCTCTTTTGTAACCTGTGACACCAGGCATGCACGTGGTCCATTTCCATACATACATTCAAGAGCATTCACATGCATAAAATACAATAAATAAAATAAATCTTTTTGAAAAGCAGGCTTCTCCTTTAGAAGAGGTAAGATAGGCTCATGGCCACAAACAGCCATAATAAGGCCCCAGAGGGACACAGATTCTTCAGGTCTGCCATTTCCCGGCAGATCCAAGAACAGAGTGAGTTTCTGACTCTTAGAGATTTTTGAGGTAGAGGGGTATATTACACACTACATGGCCTAGTCTACATGCTAAAAGTAGAGATGGTTAGAAGTAGAGAAGATGAGTCAGTGAGATGATTCAGTGGGGTAAAGGTACTTGCCACACAAAACTGACACTTGAGGTTGATTCCAGAAACCCATGGTGACAAGAGAGAACAGACTCCTGAAAGTTGTCCCCTGACCTCTAAGTGATTTTAACTGCATGCCATTTCACACACACACCACATGCACATAGTGAAGGAATGATGTGTGCTTATGTTTGTTCCTCCCAATCCAGCCTTCAATTTGTCATTGTGTGCTGTTCCTCTAGATGCTTTTATTTACAGTCTCTTCAAAGGCTTCCCTTCTTTGCTGAGGTCTGCTGGTCTTGGTCAATAGGAAGCAGTGTCAGGACAGCAAAAGGCAGTCTAGGGAGAGGCTCTCTTGACCGAGCTCCTTTCCTTCACTGAAGGCTTCAAGCTCCTGTGGGACAGGTCTGTCCAGTAGCTCTCCCCAAGGAAGCCACAGTTCCTTCATGCCTGAGGATGTTAACCCCAGTTGCTTCCCTTTAACCTAGCCTACACCTTTGTGAACCATCCCTTCAGAATCATTACCACACATCAGCCCTTTTATCTAGATATTCATTCATTTCCTGGTAGAATTCCTTTTGATAGAAACAAAACATAAAAAGGTGAGTAGAATTACCCTGTGGACCTCAGCAACACAAAACACACAAGGAACTCACAGAGTGACTAACACACAGGGTAAATCATGTTTGTTTACTGCTGTCTCTGTTTGTCTGGGTCTCATGGCTTCCAAGGTTGTGCCTTCTAGAAGCAGATACTGAGATGGAATTTGGGACTCAAGGGATTCACTTCCTTGAAAGGAAGGGGAAGAAAGCAGAAAAGCACAGAAACCAAATTGCAATGACTTAGTCAACAGGAAGCTCTGAGTTGAAGAGTGACGCTGCCCTTTACTGCCTTGTTTATTTCCTGCATGCACTAGAGCACCCAGGAGAAGTAATCTTGGGTAAGGTGACTCCCTGCAGTGAAGGCAGACTTTGACACAGCAGCCTGGTGGAGGCTGTCAACTGACTGAACTCCAGGAAGCTGGGTGGATAATCCTACCTGGAGGAGAGGAGATCAGCCCTCCACATGCCTTCCACAGCAGCTTAACTCTCAGCCATTCCCAGGCCTTTTCCCTTTCTTCATGCCTGCCTACCACAGGGACTTTATACAGAAGCTCTGTTCTCATACCTGGACCTTGGTAAAAACCCTACTGCTTTATGCAGTTCTGCTAATCCTGAGGAGCTCCTGAATGGAACTTATAAGTTGCCAGAGTGACAGGCACATATTTTAAGGAAATATGTTTTCCCTTTAGGAAATTTGAGATAGGAAGAGAGGAAGCAATACTGTACAGAATTGGCAATAACACCGCTACACAATAAAAATCAAACACTCATGAGTATGCTCTTAAGTTCTTATGGAAAGGCTGTTTTACTTTTTTTTTTTCTTTTGTAGGATGTGATGTGTGTCGTTGATGATTCAATCATCAGCTTTGTACAGCAGGTTCTTTTACTTCCAATGGCTGTGTTTTGTTACCATGACATCTTCCTCAGTGTTGGCTTCCTAGGTGAATACATTTAATCTACACATTGCGTCAAAGGTTAGGTAATATCTGACTAAGTTGATGTAGCTGTTATTTATAGTAGTTTCTTGAGTTAAATCCTCTTGTCCTCTTCCTATTCTGCCTCTTCACTTGGCTCTGTTGGAGATCATTAATCAACATTATTCTACATTTTCTGGTTTCTTTAAATGACGATCTATACAGAAAATGAGATGCGGGTGCAGTAAGAGGCAAGCGTGGGTGTGTGTGCCTAGCAGACCCATCTCTCTCTGAATTTTTTTCTCTACTTACATCTCTGCTATGGCAATCAATAGAAAAACTTTGCTGTGCTCCAGACAAGTTTTCTCTGTGTGGCCCTGACCATCCTGAAACACTATAGACCAGACTGGCCTCAAACTCAGAGATTCAACTGCCTCAGCTTCCTGAGTGCTGGAATTAAAGGTCTGTACCACCACTACTCAGCCTTTTTTTTTTTTTTTAAAGATTTATTTATTATTTATACACACCAGAAGAGGGCACCAGATATTTATTATTATAGATGGTTATGGGCCACCATGTGGTTGCTGGGAATTGAACACAGTACCTTTCAAAAGAGCAAACAGTGCTCTTAACCTTTGAGCCACCTTCCAGCCCCCACCACCCAGCTTTACTTGGAATTTTTAAATTTAATTTTATTATTTACATTCATTTATTATCATATATGTGCGTCTATATGTGTGTGTGGGGGGGGAGTGTAGCTATGGAGTGCAGGTGGCAGTCATGGGACAACTTGAAGGAGAAATTGGCTCTCCCTTACTCTATGTGAATTCCAGGGATTGAATTCAGGTCTTTAGGGTTTGTGGCAAGCACCTTTACCTGTGAGCTATCTTGCTGGCTCATCTATCTGTCCGTCTATTGTGTGTGTGTGTGTGTGTGTGTGTGTGTGTGTGTGTTTATGAGTGTATGTGTAACTATGGAATGCTCTCTTGCAAGGCAACTAACCTTCAAGTGCATGTTCACTTGGATTCTTTTGGGAGATGTAAAAACCTTATCTTGGAGAGAACAGACTTCCCACTGATAAACAAACCAGCAGGTAATGTACTTCTGTTCTTTTAGGACTTTGAAAGCAAAGATTCTTTACTTTAGCTTGCTGGAGTGATGGATATTTGTCTTCTTTCTGTCTGGCAGTAGAGTGGAGTGCACTGTGTTGGGACCTGAGGACCTTCAGATCTAGTACCTTAAACAAAATTTCCCAATACAGGACTTTGATCTTTTTAAAGCAACAGCAACATTCAAATGACTTAACTTTCATAACTTATTTTCAAATGACGTATGCTCACTGGTTTTTTTACAAAAGAAAACAATAAAGGAGAACATATTCTGAAATCACATTTTTACTCTTTGAGGGAGCATTTTCAGTGCTCTCATTTTCTCTCCACTTTTATAATACACACATAATTTTAAATGTGTGGGAATCCTCTACTGTTTTTCCACAGCAGGTGATTTAAAACACAGTAGTTACCATAGTAGTTTTACCATAGTACCGTACTATCAATGTTTTCATTACTTGCTGCATGACATTGGGTAACTTAGCTTGTCTCTGCTGTGGCTTATATGGAAATATCAGGGCAATAATGTCATTTACCCCAGACAACCAGTATGAAGTTGAAATCAAATCATGTATCTGTGCACATTATTTAGGCACTTTAGGTCATATGTGGATCATAGTGAACAGTTATTATGTTTTATATAACTGTGACTTCATAGTAAAACTGAAGATTTTTTAAAATACCCAGAGGAATAGTTTTTCTGATAATTTCATTATATTTCAAAATTATCCTTTTTTTGTCTTTGTTTTGCTTTGTTTTTTTGAGTTAGGGTTTCTCTGTGTAGCCTTGGCTGTCCTGGACTCACTTTGTAGACCGGCTGGCTTTAAACTCACAGAGATGTGCCTGCCTCTGCCTCCCCTAGTGGGGGATTACAGGCATGTGCCACTGTGCCCAGTTCTCAAAATCAAATCATACTTTTAACATAAATTAATACTGTTTTTTATATAACTATATACCTTCTTTTCCCTCCGCCCCTCTTTTTTTCTAGACAGAGTTCTCTGTGTAGCCTTGGCTGTCCTAGACTCACTTTGTAGACCAGGCAGGCATTGAACTCAGAGATCCACCTGCCTCTGTCTCCCAAGTGCTGGATCTACAGGCATGTGCCACCAAGCCCAATTTACCTTCTCCTTTTTTTTTTTTTTTTAAGATTTATTTATTATGTATACAATGCTCTCACTGCATTACAGCTGCACGCCAGAAGAGGGCACCAGATCCCATTATAGATGGTTGTGAACCACCATGTGGTTGCTGGGAATTGAACTCAGGACCTCTGGAAGAGCAGGCAGTGCTCTTAAGCTGTGAGACATTTCTCCAGCCCCTACCTTCTCCTTTTTAATACCATGTGTACAGCATTTTTTTTTTAACTTTAATTTCTATTTTTTGCAAAACAGTGAATTCATTTTGGATCATGCATCTAACTTTTAAAATTACAATTATTTATTTGTCTATTTATCTATTTATTTGTTCTTTGTGTGTGTGGGTGAATGAGTGTACATCAGACTACCACTTGTGGGAATCAGTTCTCTCTTTTAATCAAATGGGTCCCAGGTAATATTAAACTCAGGTCATCAGCATTAGTGGTAAGTACATTTATTCACAGAGATATTTTCTGACTCTATACCTTCTCTTTTGAAGTTAGAATTCGCATGCAGTAAGTATTTGTTTTTTACTTGGTGACTAATCTGCCTGAAGATCAGAGATTAAGTACCCTTTTGTGGAGGTGTGAGAACTGTCCTGCTGAGTGCAGGGTGCCTTTAAGTGAGTCAGTTTCACATGGTCCAACTTTATAAAACACTAGTCCAACTAAAAGTCCCTGTTAATTATTAAGCCCTTCTGTTTTATCTGGCTAACTGACACTGCAGATTGAGACTGGAGAGTGTTAATTCCTGAAGCTGAGCCGGCACACCTATAGAACAATGTAGCTACAGAGGGACTGAAAATACTCTGCCTTTTTCTCTTGCACTACAGAAGGAGTATCTGCTGTTTTGCTGCCATGTCTGCAACCTAGCAAGCCCTCCAGTGCCTGTTTAGGATTCCTGGTGGCTTGTCTAAGCATGGCGGAAATCAGTGTTCAAAGAATCCTTCTTTTGGTTGTTTCTCTGACAAAGTGTCTGGAGGGCACGGAGTTGCTGGCACACCTTAAAAAGTGTGGTGACTTGGAATGTGAAAGTAAGTTTGCTTTTCTTCTTCTTCTTACACAGAGTTATAAAATCACATTAAATGTTACTGTGGGTGGATCTGTGTGATGAAAACTCAACATTTAATAGTACTGAAAAATACTTGAATTATAAAGTATAGCTTGATATAAAAAAGGAATTCTAGAAACAAAGCATTTTATGATAACACTATTATAAATTTAACATCAGAAACAAAAATAAAACATATAGAAATGTCACAAATGGTTGTAATCCAAGTGTCAAAAACTTAATATCCAACTGTTTTGCTATTTTTTTTTTTTTAAGACAATGAGTTGTTTAAAAAGATATCAAATAGTTTGGTAACTCACTGTTGATGAACCTTCTACATTTTAGTTTCTATTTCACAATAGAACTTTCTGGTTCTCATGAGTTTCCCCCCAAATATTTCTGTTTTCAACCATCATGATTTAGCTGTCTTAATATGAAATGCTAATCATTTGTGTTAATTTATTATGTAAAAGTGCTAAAATAAATGTTCCAATATAGATATGTATGACTTACAACATTCAATATTAAACTTTCTTGAGTCTCTATGAAGAGAAATTAATTTCTACTTTGTTGTTTAAGAACTTATATTTAAAATTTTTATTTTTATTATATATATGTATATATATATATATGGGTATTTTGCCTGTATGTATGTGTGTATATGTATACCACATATGTGCCCAGAGCTCATGGCATCCAGGAGAGGGCTTTGATTCCCTGGAACTTGAGTTACAAACAACCATGAGCTCCATGTAAGTACTGGGAACTGAACCTGGGTCTTCTGAAAGAGCAGTAAGTGCTCTTAACCACTCAGTAATAGCTCCATCCCCAAGAACTTAATTTTTTGGTATACACATGATGGTTTAAAATAACTTTATCCTGCTGTGTATGATGGCACCAAGAAGCAGAAGCAGGCAGATCTCTAGTTCCAGGTTGGCTTGGTCTACATAGTGAGTTCTTTGTCTAAAAATAAAACAACAAAAACAGAAAAAGAAAAAATTGTGTCCTTATCTTAGAGTTCCTGAAAATAAGTTTTATTTTTCTAACATAAAAAGTATTTCCAATTTTTCAAAATGAAAATTAAAGTACGAATTGTAATTATATGAAATACAATAATGTCTAAGACATATATATACACACATATATGTATATATTTAAAGATTATATACTTCTATTTAATGTGTATTAGTGTTTGCATGCATGCATATAAAGGCACTGGTTGTGTACTAGGTGCCCTCAGACGCCAAAGAGGGTTCTTTTTGTTTGTTTGTTTGTTTGTTTTTATTTTCCTGACAGGGTTTTTCTGTGTAACCCTGGCTGTTCTGGACTTGCTTTGTAGACCAGGCTGGCCTCAAACTCACAAAGATCTGCTTCCCAAGTGCTGGGATTAAAGTTGTGCACCACCATGCTCTGCCGACTACATGGTATTTTATAGTAAATATCTTTTAATTTTCCTCTAATACTTGCTTTTTATATTTTAATAGTACTTTTTATTTATCCCTTGGCAAATCCGTACATTTATACTATGTGTGTTGATCATTTACCCTACATCCCACTTCTAACTCCACCTGCGGGTCCTGAAACATGTCTTCTCCCAATTCATATTCTTTGAAAAAAGTTCTTTTTAAAGATGTGTTTATTTTATTTTATGTGTGGGTATTTTGCCTGCATGCTATGTGCTTGCAGGGTGCAGGTGGAGATCATTTTAGAGGCCCTGGAATTGGAGTTACAGATAAGCACCCTGTGGGTTTGAATCATCCTCCTGAGCCAGTGGCCACAGCCCTAAAGAAAAATGCCTCTCTTTGCCCAGAAGCTGCGGGCTAGCTGCTGGGGCTAGCAGCTGTTGGCTACCAGTGGGGGCATGTGGGTCCTTCCCTGCTGTTTTGGAATGTCAATGGCTTGAGCTTGTACAAGTTTTTGGCTAGCTGCTGTGAGTTTGTGAGTCACAGCATGTCCAGAAGACAGCATTTCAAAATGCAAAATGATTAGTTTAAATGTAAAAATTTCACTAGTGGTATTTTTTATGAGCAATCTTTTTTTTTTTTTTAACCTTTTGGAAAAGTTGTTCAATATGCCAGGGAAGTTTGTCACCTCAGAACTTTGCAGTGATTCTTTCCCATTTTGCTTTAAATCAGCACTTAAATATTTTTAGGGGACAACAGAAATTCAAATTCATAGTAACTTATAATGCTATTTTGACTCTTATTGAAGGGCTTCATCAGTGTGTTTTTAAATTTTGCACATTAGTACCACATAGTTATATGTGTGTTACTTTAGGCATTGAGGGCTGAATCATGCATTCATGGTTTGCTTAGAGTTACTGTGAGCCTACTATGTCTGGGCTGTGTGTATTAATACAATGTGTCTTAAAAGGGATAAAGTGAAATGTAAGCTGTTTTTTATTCTGTAGGAATGTTCATTTTATTTAATAATGACAAAACAGATCATTGTAGAATAATAGCTATGTAAAATTATAAGCATAACAGGTAATGCTGGAGTTCAGACTCAGAAAAAAAAGCAGGATGTGAGCTAAAAATGAAAAGAAGTGGAATTTTTCTGAACTGAGGGAAATATGGAAATAGAACCATATGATAAGGATGGTGATGTTGCAGTGAAAAACAAAACAAACAAAAAAACAAAAAAATCCTCAGGCAAAGCTGGCCAACCAGAGCTATATGATCAGCCCCTAAACCTTAGCTAAGGGCTCATGTGTTAGAATGAAATGGGGTTGTTTACCTTATAGATATGTATTGAGGATTTAACAGAATGAAAATAGAATGCCTGGAAATGTGAGGGTACCGGGAAGAAAGGCAGCGTTTGGCACACACGAGAGAGCAGTAGTGACTCACTCTGAGAGAAACCGATTTGTAAGCTGGAGTGTAGCCCTGCATCTGGGCAAAGGAATAGGAGAGGTTGCTTAAAATAGGGAAGGCAGGGCCTTCAGAGGCAGATTTGTGGTGCTTACCGCTCTTGCAGGGGATCTGGGTTCATGTCCCCGTACCCACGTGGTAGCCCACAACTATCTATAGATCCAGTTCCAGGGGATCTAGTACCCTCTATGGCCTTAGTGGGCACCAGAGTCACATACATACATACACATACAGGTGCACATACAGACATGCAAGCAAAACACTCAAACAAATAAAGTAAAAACATCTTTAAAATATAAAATAAAATAAGGAAGGAGAGCCTGTGAAATGAATCAGTAGGTAAAGGCACTTGCTGCCAGGCCTTACAACCTGAGTTTGGTAAGCAGGCCCACAGAATAGAAGGAGAGAACTGACTCCCAAAAGTTGTACTCTGACCTCCACATGTGCACTACATGTGTAAACACACACACACATAATTTAAATTTAGAAAATAGGTAAGTGGGATCAGGTTGTGAATAATCTGCTATACTGTGCCAAAATAATCTGAGCTTAAGTCTGCATGTAGTGAAAAGTTTATTTTGGTTCTTGAGAACATAACCAATATTAGTAAATTAATATTTCAAACTTTATTATTATTATTATTATTATTATTATTGAAATATCCCAAACTCTTGAAATCCTTCTCAGCTTCATGAATGCTGTGATTACAAGTGTGAACCATCAGCCCCAGCCATCATCTCAAAATTTAAAGGATGGATTTAAGGAAGGCAAAATGGATGGAGGAGTCAAGTATGGTGCTATAAATCTAAAATTTCAGCACCAGGGAGGAGCTGAAGCAGGAAGATTTTAAGTTTGAGGCAAGCCTGAGATACATAGCAAGGCCTTTTTTTTTTTTTTTTTTTTTTTTTTTTTTTTTATAAATAAGTGAGAAGCAATAGCATTTCAAAGTGTTTGCTTTTCTTCGTGTGTCTATACAGCTTTAATCAGCAGAGTCTTAGCCCTGAGAGACCACACGGGACCTGACTGTCGATACCTGAACTTCACTGAGGGGGACGAGATCTCTGTCTATGTTAAGCTTGCAGGAGAGAGAGAAGATTTGTGGGCAGGAAGCGTAAGTATCTAGCTAAGAACTGAATGCAGAAGAAATGACCAATTTGTACAAGGATACTTGCTGTTAGTCTATAAAAGAACTTTCATCTAACAACTTCAAAGCTCTGTATAAATATTAACAACCCTCATCCAACCTAAGCAAACAAACAAAAAATTTATCATACGCATTCCTTTATTCCAAGCCTTTGGGCAGCAGAGGCAGGTGGATCTCTGTGAGTACAAGGCCAGCCTGGTCTACATAGCAAGTTCTAGATCATCTAGGGTTGAAAAAAAAAAATCACATTTAGTGGTGTCTCTAAAATCTTTTCTTTTTAAAAATTTATTTATTTTTATTTCATGTGCATTGGTATTTTGTCTGCATGCATCTCTGTGAGGGTGTCAGATCTTGGAGTTATAGACAGCTGTGAGCTGCCATGTGGGTGCTGGGAATTGAACCCAAGTCCTCTGTAGGAACAGTCAGTGCTCTTAACCACTGAGTCATCTCTCCAGCCCAGCTCTAAAATTTCTGTAGAGGAGGTTTTGGGAAAGACAGCTTGAGATGGAAGACTGAAGGAGTGCTTTGAAATTGCTTTTTACATAACATACATAATCTTAAATTTAGAGTTCATATTTATTTAGGAAGCCTTCGAGAGTGCTGACACATAATATGTCAGCCAGAACTCTCTCTGTGCTGTGAGAGAGACTGGGAAGTTGGTTGGCCAGATTTCAAAGCGTGTTTGTCTGATGAGAGAGAGAGCAGAGGTGTGTTGGAGAGGTCAGCAAAAAGGTTGATGTTGCAGGGAAGAAAGGTATATAAAATTTTCATGGAAAATGACATAATAACTGGGAGATCTTTTCATTTGGCCAAAGTAAAAGAAGCCCACGCTAACTCTCAGGATAATAATTAATGCTTTCAGTTGAAAATATTTATATTTCTCATGTGTATTATGTTTTGTAATGAGGGCATGCTGTGATCAGTTTACTTTCGAGCTGAAAAGAGATGACCAATCTAATGGAGTCCCCCAAAGGTCCCATATTGTGCATATATCAGCTTCTTCCCTAATATCTCCTCTGTGCTAACTGTTTGAATGAATAATTTTATTTTTGAGACAGTTTCATATAGCCTGGGCCCTCCATAAGCTCCCAGTGTAGCTGAGGACGAGGCTGAATGCCTGATCCTCCTGGTGTACCCATCTGTACCCATCTGAAGGCACAGGCTGTATCTGAAGCCCTCCTCTTCCCACAGGGGATATGTAACCAAACCTTTGCCACTGGCCAGATTTGCTTTCTACCCTGCATATCCTGGGACTCCTTATTGCTTAGGATGGCTTTAGGGAAAAGTTTTCAATTAGCAATAATCGCGCCTTGGATAAACCTCATTGGCTATGATACTGCCACTGCACAAAGCTTTTAGGATGGCTTTAAAATACCTGTCCGTGTTTTGAATGTATCACAGAAATCTGATTTGGGTATAGGAAAATATAGTATATGTCATAAGAGGCAAAGAAAGCTATCTGTTTTGTTTAGTAAGCATGAAAATAATTCTACACAAATATAAAATAAAATAAGGAAGGAGAGCCTGTGAAATGAATCAGTGGGTAAAGGCACTTACTGCCAGGCCTCACAACCTGAGTTTAATTACCATTTAATGGGTAAGGGTTAGGTGGAACTCTCAGCTGCCTTTAGTTTGGTACATTTACATGTTTAGTTTAATTGCTTCTCTGCCTTTTAGCTAAGCTAAGTAGAGAGGGTTAGTCTGCACTCATAACCACTTAAGAACTCATAGTGGTGGACTCATAGACTCATTCCAAATAGCTGTAAATGAAGACTGTCTGGACAGCTAGAAGAATCTTAGTCAATGTGTGATGGTGTTGGATCAGAAGACAGAAAACTTTAACAGGAATAAGAGGGCTTGTGAGTGGTTGAATGGTGACTTCACTCTTGGGGGATATCCTACATGTGCTCAAGCTGGGTCAAAGAATCTGTTACCAGGTTAGCTCAAAAAGCCAAAAGGAACAGCATCCTCCTTTGGGAGCACATGGACCTTAACTACCTCAATAAACCTGTCTGCCGCATCCGGGAATGTAAATCCCTTTCTCGAGAACTCTTGAGCTTGCCACAGTACTGTCTTCCTGCTGTCAACTGGACTGTTACTTTTTGATAACGCAGATCTAAGAGTGTAAATCTGCAGAACCTGGGCAAAGAAAGTCCTAGGGAACAGGGCAGGGGTGGAGCAGGAACACGCACTTGCTACTCTTCCAGAGGACCTGGTTTGGTTCCCAGTATCCACATGGCAGCTCACAACTGTCTATCACTCCAGTCCTAGCTGGTCTGATGACCTCTTCCAGTCCCCACAGGCACTATAGGGAAAACACCCATACACATAAAATAAAACTGTATAACTCTTAAAATCTATAAAAAGAATGAAGAGAGGGAGAGCGAGAATAATAGGAGTATATAGTATAGCTTTTGACATTTGCAACAGTGATATTTTACAGTTTAGGTCATCATGCCCTTAAGTTAATATTAGTCTGTCAAATAACAAAACAATAAGGCCTCACTCATGTTCTTGTTGAATGTTTGTTTGGCACTGGGGCTTGAACCTAGGACCTAAGCAAGCAGCTACCACTTAATTATATCCACAGTCTGCATTCATGATTTTTTAGGTGGCATTTGATCGCCAATTAATATTCTGTGATTGAACATAGCTAAAGCCAAGGTCACAGAGCAAAATGAGGCCCAATAGTTAGGCCTACTTCAATCACTTTTCCTTCATAATCTTTGTTTTTGTTTTTGTTTTGTTTTGATAGAAAGGAAAAGATTTTGGATTTTTTCCCAGAGATGCAGTCGAGATCGAAGAGGTGTTCATATCCGAAGAAGTTGAAATGCCAACTAAAGTGAGTAAACTCATTCCCGGCTATTAATTAAATTTAAAAGTTCTTGGCAAAAATGGCCTCCTTGGCATAAATGTTCATTGATTATGTACCTCATTTTGTGAACATAAGTGGTAGTTATTAAGAACTTGTTCTTGGCATGACTTGGGTATGTGAATACAATTAAACAGAATAGAGTTGATGACAGTTAAAGATTTAGCTTTCTGAAAAATTAACAGAGTACAGTGGTTAAACGTGTGAATTCTGCAGAGGGCGTGAGCTTAAAGCCCGACTCAACCACTGACTAGGGCTGTAGTATTGGCTGCTTAAGTTTTATCACCTGAAAAATAGCAGTCACATGTGTTAGTAACGTAGCAGTAACTCCAACTGATTGAAGAATATTGAGCACACAAGAAGGGCACAGAACAGCACACAGTTGCTATTCCTTAGCTACAATTACTGATACTGTTGTACTACTAGGACCAAAAGGTATTTCTCCTACCACCTTCCCTAGGCCTCATATCTGAACAACCACTTTGGCTATTGTTTATGTTAAGTTAATTAATTTTATTATTTTATGTGTAGGAGTGTTTGTCTGCATATATGTCTGTGCACCACATACATGCCTGGTGCCTGCAGAGGCCAGAAGAAAGCATCAAATCCCCTAGAACTGGAGTTATAGACAGTTTTAAGCTGCCATGTGAGCACTGAAAATTGAATCTAGGGCCTCTGGAAGAACTGCTCTTAACCTCTGAGTCGTCTCTCTGGCCTCATGATGTTGGAATTGTTTTTTTTTTTTTTAATTTTATTTATTTGTGGGTGTGAGTACGTGTGGGCACACATGCATGTAGGTGTCTTTTAAGTCCAAAAGGGGTCAGATCCCCTGAGAACTTAATTCTAGTTCTCTAGAAAAGCAGAGCAAATACCTCTTTTCGTTTGTTTGTTTTTTGAGACAATGTTTCTCTGTGTAGCTCTGGTTGTCCTAGAACTCATTTAGGAGACCAAGTTGGCCTCCAACTCAGAGATCTGCTGGCCTTTGCTTCCTGAGTACTGGGACTAAGTACTGTCCCACTGCTGTTGGAATTCTTAATGAAATTCAAATAATGTTGAGCTTGGTATTAAGAAAAGGAATCAGAAACTGATATTTTAATATATGAATTTGATTTGCCAATTTAACTCAGATTCCGGGTTTTACCATGAGTAAGGTCACATTGTGAAGTGAGACTGTTTGTTTCTACAAACTGTCTGTTATTGGCACTGGGATTAGCTGTCCACTTCCTGCAGGATACTTGGGCCTGTCACTTCTGTATTCTGTTCTGTAGCACATTCTCTTCTCTGCAGTTCCACCCTTGTAGACCTAATCCAAGGCATAATCTCCTTTTTCGCAGTTATATTATTATTGTGCATTATGTGCCTGATGAGGGCAAGGATGCATTGCCAGACAATGTCTGTGCAGGTCAGAGGACAACTTTGTAGAGTCAATTCTCTCCTGCAACACTCACGTGGACTCCAGGGATTGGCCTGGCACGCCAGGCTGGCACAGCATACCCCTTCACTCACCCAACCATCTCACCAGCCAGCAGTCATCACTTCCTGACTGGAGGATAACAGTCTTCTAACTGGTTCCATTTTGCTTTTTTCTAGTCTGTCCTTCAAACAGTAACAGATCTTATAAAAACAAAAACAAAATATCAGGACACGTCATTCCTTTTGTTAAATCCCATTCATGGCTGCTTTTCATTTGATCTGGCATATAGCCTAGACTCCATCTCTGGCCTCACAGGTCCTGTTTCTGCTGCTTCAGTTTCTGTCTTGTGCCTCTCTCTCATAAGCCACACACACCTCTGGACAGACTGGCTTTTAGATTGTTCTTAGATGTGCCAACTCCTTCCTAGGCCAGGAACTTGAAGGGGCTCTTTTTCTGGTAGAACACCCTGCCCTATTTTCATCTCACACTTTAGATTGCAGCTTAAAACATTAGTGCCTCTTGGGGAAACGTTTGGAGTATTTTCCTAGATCAGGTTCTCAACCTTCCTAATGCTGTGATCCTTTAATACAGCTCCCCAACCACAAAATTATTTCATTGTTACTTCATAACTGTCATTTTGCTACTGTCATGAATCATAATGTTAATATCTGATATCCGACCCCTAGGAAAGAATTTGTTCGGCGTCAAAGGCACTGCAACCCACAGGTTGAGAACTGCTGCCCTAGACTAGTGCTGGTACTAGCAGTGGATTTGTCTACATTCATCAAATTAGATGCAATTATTATGTGTCTTTTTGTGTGCCAACTACTACTCTGTATAGATTGGGGACATGGTATGATTGGGGGCATTGGATAATTAGTTTGCAATAAAAAAAAAAATGAGAGTCAGTGAGATGACAGAGCCAGTGAAGGAGCTTGTCACAAAGCCTGATGACCTGAGACTGATTCCTGGAACTCATGTAAAAGGAGAAGGAAAGAACCAACTCACCTCCACATGAACATCATGGTTTATGTAGGCTCAAATATACGTAATCAGGCATGTGTACACGTGTGTGTGTGTGTGTGTGTGTGTGTGTGTGTGTGTACTCATATGTGTGCATATGCTCTTGTGCTACTGCCCATGTGTGGAGGTCAGAGGTTAACTTGCTGGAATCAGTTCTGTCCTTCTACTATGTGAGTTTCCACAGTCTTGGTGGTCGGCACCTTTACCTGCTGAACAATTCAAATACATGAGCGTATGGGAGCCATTTCTGTTCAAACCACTACAGCTAGGAAGTTTACGCTCAAGCTGCTGACATCTGGTAAGGGTGTTCTTGTTATATGACTCTGTGGTGGAAGGAAAGAGAGCGAGAGAAGGCAAAACAGAACAAGTGCTGAGCCCATCCTTTGGTAAAGAATCACTCTTGGGATGGTGCACCCACTCCCATGATAACAAAGCGCTTTTTTTCTATTCACACTGACCTTGTGGCCTAATCACTTAATCATGAGGGCCCATCTCCTAAGACTGGTAAGTTTCCAATAAATGCTTTTCGAGAGGCACATTTAAACTATGTAGCTTATGCCCTCAAACCACTGCACAGATGCATGCGTTCACTTATTATACTCTCAGGTGGTGCAAGATTTTGTAGCTAATACAAGTATACTTTCTCATCAGAATTTACTTGTTGGGGCCCTGCAGGAGGAACAGCAAAACAGTGTTAGAACTCATGGAATGTGGCCCACTGGTTAGCACAACCTCCATGGGTGTGCCTGAGAGGCAAAGTCCCAGGGACTTCCTGTCTCTATGACCTCATCCTGTCGTAGAGCTTTGCTCTGCTTGTTGTCTTCACAGTTACTACATCCCTTGTAATCTATGAGTTGTATGAAAACCCTAGGGGAGCTTCCAGCCCCTCACTGGGCAACAGATTACTGTATCTATTACAGTAATAGTGCTTGATCTTTTTCAACCCCTTTTGCTACAGCAGATTAATGATTCATCCACCACCCTCAGAAAGATCTTAGAGATACAGATTGTTAGCAATGACTACCACCTCTAGGAAGAATTTGAGAAGATTGTTAGTAAAGTTAGGTTAAGATGGTTTTTGTTAGTGGCTCTGATACAGAAAATCTTAGATAACATTTGGAGCTCAGAAAGGGACTCTTCTCTTAATAGATGAGCTAGGGATCTTTTGAGGTCAGAGAACAAGAACAGTGGTGGCCTGACTGGTACTAGTTGATGTGCCTCTTTCTTGCTGTAGCTTGACTGGTGATCAAAGTGATGATTAATTTCTTGTATTCATTTTTTCCCTTAGCTTCCTGATATGATTCAATAAAAAAATTGTCAATGAGTAAATGTGCACCGTGAGGATTTAAAGTGGAAATGACTGATTGTTTTTTATATACAAGTTTCAATTTGTGATTCTCTTAGGATTTTTATAGGATCACTTTTTAAGATAAATAATAAGAGTTTTGATCCTTTCTTTGTAACTGTAAATTGTAGCCTGCCAGTAAAGAGAGACTGACTGAAAAAATTACCTTCCTTGCTTACACTTTGTTAGTCTATAACAAATTTCTTAGTTATGAATGTATGTGGGTTCTTGGGAATAATTTGTTTTCTTCACCTGTAATACAAAAAATTTGATCATGTGAGCAGGGTATTGGGGAACATGTTTTTTCTAGGTAAATATAATTGTTTACTTAAAGAAAAATACAGTGTAACCACATTATGATATCTGTACTGCTTGTAAGATTTTCCTGGGAGGGCTGGAGAGATGGCTCAGAGGGTAAGAGTGCTGGCTCTTCTTCCAAAAGTCCTGAGTTCAATTCCCAGCAACCACATGGTGGCTCACAGCCATCTATAATGAGGTCTGGCGCCTTCTTCTGGCATGTAGGCAGGATATTGTATAAATGATAAATAAATAAATCTTAAAAAAAAAAAGATTTTGCTGGGATATACAAGCTGCAGGAGAAAAACAAAGTTGGAGCTTGCTTGTTGGAGTTTTCTCTATTCACCCACTGTGTGTGTGTGTGTGTGTGTGTGTGTGTGTGTGTGTAAAGTTGTTGGAGCTTTTTTTGTTAGAGCTTTGCTTCATCCATCCAGCCACCAAGTATGTACATGTGTTTGTGTGTGTGTGTTTTAAGAGGGTTACTCTGTATAGCTTTGGCTGTCCTGGACTTTGTAGACCAGGCTGGCCTCGAATTCTGCCTCTGCCTCCCTGAGTGCTGGGAGTAAAGGCATAGGCCACCATACCTGGTAAGGATTTTCATTTAAGTTTATGCCATTAATCCTTAGAGGTAAGTTGTGATGCATGTGTTCGGGGTTCAGAGACCTGATTGCAGTTTTTGCTCTGGGGTTATGCTAGTTGCATATAGTTGAGAAAGTTGTAGTTATCCTTTTACTTTTTGAAATAAAGTCTTTTAATGAGACATTTTTAAATTTACATCTTTCTCTTTGTGTGTGTGTGTGTGTGTGTGTGTGTGTGTGTGTGTGTGTGTATGCCACATGTGTACAGTTGCCTTGGGAGGCAAGAAGAGGGTGTTGGATGTATTGGAACTAGCAGCAGCGAGGGAGCTGCCTGATGTGAGTGCTGGAAACTGAGCTCAGGTTCTCTGGTAGAGCAGCCAGTACTTTTAACTGCTGAGCCACCTCTTCAGTCCATGATACTGTCCTTCTGTAAAGACTAGCTAGCCTCAGATTCACAATCCTCCTGACTCAGACCACAAAATTCAGGGATTATTGATGTGAAACAACACACCTGGCTATAGTCCTCTATCTTAAAATGTTCAGGGACAGACATTTATGATTTGTGTGTGTGTGTGTCTTTTAGGAATCTGACTTTCTTTGTCTTCTTGGAGAAGGGTACATATTTGGAAGTGAACAGAGTGAGTTAATCAGTGGTGACGACGAAAATATGTATCCATATGAAAACGATGAAGACCAAAAATACGATATACAAGGTGATTTCCAGCCAGAGCCTGACTTTTATACAGAGTTTGAAGGGACTTTGTTTGAAGAGCAAATTTCAGAACCAGAAACTCCTGAAGATTTCAGAATTTCCAGTGCGTCAAACGGCTGGAAAGAGGCCGGAAACGCAGGCAGTGGCGAGCTGGGTTACACCCCAGTCTGGGACCAGGCCTTGCCATCCCTGAGTGTGCCAGAAAAGCAAGGATGGTTTGGACTGAGGAGAGAAGAAGCTGAAGAGAAGCCTTTTGAACCAGATACTGAGCCCGCACAAGAAAGCTCATTTCAGAGTAGGAAATTAACAGTGGAGGAGGAGAATGACCTGGAGAAATTAAACAACGGCGAACCCCAGATAGAACTTGAGCAAGATCCAAAATCACAGCTTGATTCTGAGGCACCAGAAGCCAGCTCGGTGCTGGAGGAACAATACGAACTACCTTCTGAGTCAGAGCATGTTCTCAAACCTGAAGCCAATGCCTGGTTTGGCGGCGGATTCACAAGTTATTTAGGTTTCGGAAAGGAAGACACAGGACTTGAGTTATTGTCGGAAGAAAGCAATCCGCCATTAGAAGATGGTCCCAATTCTGTTCCACTGGATGAAGAAGCCTCACCTACATGCAGGGAAATATCAACAGACAAGGAAGAGACAGTCATTAATGACAGCTCAGTCCTCAGTCCAAGCTGGTTTTATTTTGGTTTCGGTATGCTAGGCTTTGCACAAACTAATAAAGACGGAACTACCTCTGACAATGGGGAAAGTGAAGATGGTGGGGGAGATAGCCACAAATATCCTATAGCGAGTGACTTTGACCCGGAAAAGGAAGAAGAAAGGGAAATGATAGCACCTGTGGAAACAGAAACAGGCAAGGAGAGCCCCCTGGAGAAGAAAGGTGATTATGGTTCTATGCTATATCTGAAGAAGTTCTTTGATAATCCTTGGAGCTTCCAGAATCACCCAGAGGATACAGAATCACCATTTTCCAAACAGATGCCGGGTCAGGAGGATATAGTCGAAAATGACAAAACTGAAAAACTTTCCACTGAAAATTCTCCCACAGATAGCACGAAAGATCCCATGATGCTGGAGAACAGACACAGTCCGTCAGGTTAGTATGAAAAGATGTATTAACATATTTGTTAAGGTAATTTATTTTCGTAAGTACAAATCAGATGAAAAGTTCATGCTTGAACTGGGAGATGGCTCTGTGGATTAAGCACCTGCTGGAAGAGCCTGAGGATGAATTTGGATCCTCAACAAACATATGCAAAGCAGGCCAGACATGGTGGCTGTTAACACCTCAGCACCCAGAAGGTAGAGACAGAGGATCACAGCAGCAAATTGACTAACTAGATTAGCTGGAACTGCCGAGCTCCAAGTTCAGCCCTTGCTGCTTCAGTTGCTGAGGCAGAAAAAGATGTCAACTCAGGTCTCCACATGCACACACTCAAACACCCAAATACATAATGCTCTAAAAAGAAATAAATTCTGTGTTTTTCAGAATTGTCAATTACCAACAAGAAATATTCTTATTGTTTGATTTACTTGTGAACTTATAAAACAAAACCTAAGGAAAAGAATGATTAGCAATGTCTTGATGTTATGTAAAAAATTGAAAATATTTACAGTATATTTTAATTATCAGATAACTATATTATGTAAATTGTTAAAAAATATAAATCGGGTGAAGGCCTTTTTAAATGAAAGAAATTTCTGTTCTTTTTATCTTTATTCTCACCATTTCCCCAGCGATCCTAGTTTTCTTCTTTTTTGTGTTTGAAGTCCATTTATTTTTTCCCCCTCTCATTTCCTAAATAAAATCTTTATATTATTTTGCTTTGATTAATCTATTTTATCCAGGCTCTGTTGGCTTTCCATTCTGGTAGATAAGGATTTCACTAACTGATACTCAGTTTTTAGACATTCCCGATAGAATCATAATGACATGGTTTTCATTGGAACCTAAGTTAAGGAAAACTTCAGTAATTCAAAATAGTCCAGTTTTTTGTTTTTTTGTTTTTTTGTTTTTTTGAGGCAAGGTCTCATTATGTAGATAAGGCTGGCCTTGAATTCACAGAGATCTACCTTCCTCTGCCTCCAGATCAGGGATTAGAGGGTACACTACCACACCCCACTAAGTTTTGATTCTGAAATAACATTTTATTTTATCTGCAGTTATATTTTGTTTTCCTAAAAAGCACTATGATAAAGATTTTCCTTAAGTGTACTAGGTCCTAGAGAATTTCAAGCAGGGCTAGAGAGGTGGCCGAGGGTGGGGGTAAGAATGCTTGCTGCTGCTCTAGGTCAGTTCCCACCGTCCTCATGGTGGCTCACAATCACCCCTAACTCCAGTTCCAGAAGATACAGTACTCTCTTTTGGCTTCTGTAGGCACCAGTCATATACCAGTCATGTGGCACACATATATACAAGCAAACAAAACATTCAGACATGTAAAATAAAAATAAAATACTAAAAAATTTCAATCACAAATATTGTAAAAGATTTTCAACTTTCTTATTTCTGAGAGTTCACCAGAGGACTGTACAGTGGGTGAATATTGGAATAAACTCCTCTATTTAGGTGTGTATCTATTAGCCACTTCTGTGATTAAAACCACATGGGTTGGGCCGTTGTGGTACTGCATACCTTTAATCCTAGTACTTGGAGGCAAAGGTGGAGGCAGGTGGATCACTGTGAGATCCAGGCCAGCCTGCTCTACATAGTTCCAGGACAGCCAGGGCTACAAACAGAAACTGTTTCAAAACAAACAAACAAGCAAACAAACAAACAACAACAAAAACCACAGGACAAAAAGACTCCCACATGGGTTGTATGTTAAGTGAAGATCTACATTCCATAGCTCTCAGTCACATTCTGATTTGTCTGTGATGGATAAATCAGAGACCCAGAAAAGGACTAGAGAGATGGTTCAGTGGTTAAGAGCGCTTGATGTTCTTCTATGACCCCAAGTTCAGTTTACAGCACCCATATGGGGCAGCTCACAAACTCTAGTAACTCCAATTCTAGGTGATATGATGTTAGGATATATTTAGAAATATATCTCATTCAAAAGATCTGGCTGTACAACATAACAAATGATGCCCTTCTCTGGCCTCTCGGGACACTGCATACACACACAAAGAAGGCACACACACATATACCTAAATAAAAATTTAAGAAAAGATTTTTTAAAACCCTCAAAAAATATTGGTCACACACACACACACACACACACGCAGTAGTGGTGACACATGCCTTTAATCCTAGCACTTCGGGGGTAGAAACAGTCGAATCTCTGTGAGTTTGAGCCCAGCCTAGTCTACAGAGAGTGAGAGTTCCAGGACAGCCAGGGCTACAAGGAGAAACCCTGTCTCGAAAAACAAAAAACAAAACAACAAAAAAATTACAACTTAACTTTATGATTTCAAGATGTCCTGATAAATAGGTGTTTTAAATTTTCTTTATCATTTCATAAAGTAATACTGGTAAATTTTCTAAACAAAGGCTAAGACACTGGGTATAATGATGCACTCCTGTATCCCTGGCATGGTGGTGATATACCCCGGCAACCTTAGCAGCTGGAGGCAAGAGTATCAGGAATTCAAAGCCAACCTGAGCTATATAGTGAGTTCAAACTAATTGCTAGCCTGGGCTACATAATACTATGTCTTAAAAAGAAAAAGAAAAGAAAGACCAAGCCCCTGACCAACAGGCAAGCACAAATTATAACCAGTTTTGATGAACTTTGATGAAAATAAATACTTTTAAGTTTCAGGAAATAGATACCCCATACATAAACAAAGCAGGATGTTTTAAAACCTATATGAAGTAAGTGAAATACAGATCATTTAGAGTGTGTGTGTGTGTGTGTGTGTGTCTGAGAATCGAACTCAGGACTTCGCTAGAAATGTACTTCATCATTGGAGTCATATCTCCAACCATATTTTTACTTATTCTTTTCACATTTAATGTTATTTTTATTATGTTTTTGTTTGTTTGCTTGTCTAACTATGAGGCCCTGGCTGACCTAGAACTCACTTTGTAGACTAGGCTGGCTTTGCTCTTACAGAAATGCCCCTGCCTCTACCTCTGCCTCCCAAGTGCTGGGATTAGTTTTTTAGTTTTTGTTTTGAGAGAGGGTCTCATGTTGGCCAGAGGTGGCTTTGACTTTCTCATGCAGCAAAGGCTGTGATCAAACTCCTTATTCTTTTGCCTCAGCTTCTGAGTAGCTCAGTTGCCAGGCCTGTACTATTAGCCAGTGTCATTAGCCCCGGCTTAAAATGTTTGCTTTGCTTTGAAACAACAAAAAAACAAACCAAAACCATAGTAGAAGGATAAAGATTTAGACAAAACCACAGACCCTATTTTCTGAGTGTTAAAGAATAGCTATAGAGACAGTTATTTTTTCCCCCGAGAACTTCAATAGCTTTTAGAAACAAGTGAAAACTGTGTTAATTAGAATTGGTGGATAAGAAAATGAATTGTGATTGTAAATCACTGTGAAAAGCTAAGACTTGATATGGCTATAGCAATTTGTAAAACATATAAATTATGGAAGTGCTAACTACTTTACAAAAGAACTCCAACTAGATTTATTTAAATGATTTTGTGAAATATAGTTAAAAAATATTGCTCTATTTGACTTAAAATTCTGTTAATAATGTGAACCTTAAAGGTTAGGTTTAAGTCACTATAATATATCCCCAAACAATAATAGGTGAAAATACCATATGGATTCACAGTTTTTCTTATGATGTACTCATTTCAAATTCAGTGTAAAACAGTATTTTGAAAACAACAAATATAATAACATATAAATTTTAGTACAATTACTGAATATATTCCTTCTAATACTGTTAACACTATTGTATATCAGCATCTGAGTCCTGCATTTATGTCAGTCTCAGAGAACTTGCACGGTAGCTTGTGTATATAGTCCCAGAACTCTAGACGCAGGAGGCCCACATGAGTCTAAGAGTTCAAGACCAGCTTGGGCAACATAAAAAGACCCTGTTGCAAACGAACAAATGAGCAAAGCCCTCGTTTGGGTCTCTATTACCAAATGAAACAAACCAAAAACTAGACCCGGTTACTGTTTTTTAACTTTAATGTCCACATATGATATTATTAAATTACTAGTAACGTTTATTTGCCTGGGACTTTTTTACTGTAAAGTTTTTTTTTTTCAGTGAGTTAATTATTTTTTGCATGTGGGTGGTTTGCCTGCACATCTGTCTGTGCACTGTGCCACATGCACGCCATGCCCGTAGGGACTAGGAGAGGGCACTTCATCATCCGTACTTGGAGCACTTGGGTGCTGATAACAGAACCTTCGTCATCTGGAAAAGTAACTAGTGCTTTTGTGTGTGTGTGTGTGTGTGTGTGTGGTGTGTGTGTGTGTGTGTGTGTGTGTGTGTGTGTGTGACAGGGTCTTACTATGTAGCCTGTTCTGGAGCTCACTCTGTAGACCAGGCTGGCCTCAAACTAACTAGATCAGCCTGCCTCTGCCTCCCAAGTGCTGGAATTAAAGGCCTGCACTACTACACCCAGCATAGCCAGTGGTCTTAACATCTCCTGAGTGCTGGGATTAAAAGCATACAACACCATCTCCCAGTGACTGTGGGATTTTAAAAGTCTTCAAAAGTAATTGTTTCTCTTACTATGCTCCCTTAACCATGTATTATGATACTGTATATACTAACAAAGTGGAACAGACATGGAATTAAAGGGACAATCAAGGCTGGAGTTTGAAGGTAACAAACTCCAAAAGAAATGCATGACATTTGATTGGCACCTGATCATTTGAAAACTTTTCTTAATATCCTAGTGATCCTGGTGATCCTAGTTTAGGCCTTTTCTGCCTAAATGTTTGATCTCTAGGACTCACATGGTACAAGGAAAGTCTTGATTCCAGCAAGAGCCTCTGACCTCCACACACACGCTGTGAAACACGAGCTTTCACACACATGCACATGTGAAAAGCTTGAGTGGTGGCAGGTTTCACATTTAATGATGTATTTTATCACATACACAAGCTTCAGTGCAGCCAAGTTCCACCAGTTTTGGAACTTGGAATCAATTGCTATAAATTCTGGTATGGATTTTTATGCTGTTAACTATTTGTTTTATTTATTAAATAGAATTAGCAACCAATATGAAGCATCTTGAAGCTACTGTAAGTAATTTTGGTCATTCTGACTCCCTGGTTCTCTAACAGATAAAGCAAGCAAAGTCTGCTTCATTGAGTGATGGCTACAGATTATATCTTTTTGGATAAATGTTCTTAACAAGAATGAAATCTTCTTTATTTTATTTTTTTGAGACAGGATTTTTCTTTGTAATCCTGGCTGTCCTGGAACTTGCTCTGTAGAAACAGGGTGGCCTCAAACTCAGAGATCTACCTGTCTCTGTCTCTCACAGGGATCAAAGGTGTGTACCACACCTGGCAGAAGTATTTTTTTTATTTTTTGAGATAGGGTTTCTCTGTGTAGCTCTGGCTGTCTTTGAACTCACTCTAAGTAGAGCAGGCTGGCCTCGGACTCACAGAGATCCCTCTGCCTCTGCCTCTCAAGTGCTGGGATTAGAGGTGTGTGCCACCACTGCCTGGAAGAAATATTTTTTTTTAATTAACTTTATTATTTTATTTATGTGAGTATTTTGCTTGTATGCATATTTGTGTAACACCAGAAGTCAGTGATGGATCTCCTGGAATTGGAGTTACAGATGCTTGTAAGCGACCATGTGGTTGCTGGGAATTGCTCTGCTATAGCAGCAAGTGCTCTTAACTACTGAATTATTTCTTCAGACCCAGGAAAGAAATCTTAAATATATATATATTATTTCTTTTTATTTATGTGTGCCAATGTCAAGGTATATGTGTGACAATCAAAGGACATATTGCAGGAGTTGGTTCTCTTCTTGCACCGTGTGGATCCTGGTGATTGAATTTAGGTTGTCAGCCTTGGCAGCAAGCGTCTTTACCCATTGAGCCACCTTGTCAGCTCAAGGAATGAAATCTTCATGAGAGCTATTTATTATTTTTAGTCATGAGCTTATACAGTAGAAGAAAGTTGATGTTACGTTAGTTTCCTGTTTGTTTTATTTTGTTTTTAAAGCCTGGGTTTTGCTAGGTCACCCAGACTGATCTTGAAGGTGTGATTATCCTGTCTCTGTTTACGAAATGTTAAGATTACGGTCCGGTGCCACCATGCTTAGTTTCCTTTTTTAAATTTTTTAAAAATTATAGATTTGCTTGCGTAAACACAATTTTTAGAAGAAAGCTGAATGTATAGAATATACATAAGTACAGCTTTTTTTTTTTTTTTAAAAGCCTTCCGTGGCCAAGGTAAAGCATTGTACGGTCATCTGAGTAAAGGCTTCTCCAAGCCGCGGTCTTAACCTCCAGCCCGTGAGCCCGTTTCACGCGCATGCGTTAGAGATAATTCTTTGGGTATACTGAAGATTCCTTATGAGTGGAAAGCAGGACAGCGCCAGTAAGAGGCGAGAGGATGCAAAGCCAGCTGGTATGAAACAGAGGATGGGTCCATGAAGCAAAGAATGTGGGAGGCTTTTGGAAGCCACAAAAGGCAAGGGTTTGAATTTTCCTCCAAGTTTCCAGAAAGAGCGCAGTTCAGCAAATATAGCTTTAAGGGTTTTGACTTCCAAAAGTCTAACAGAATGACTTCTGTTTTAAGCCAAAAGCTTGTGGCCACTGCTAAGAGGAAGCCAACGACAAAGCAAGTGTTCTACAAAAGACATTTCTCTTTATGTGTTTGTAGATATGGCCTCTGAAATAGAGTCATCTCTGAGTGTCCATGAAGAAATACATTTAAAAATCTCATCCTCTAAAAGGAATGAGGAAGACTCCAAATCATGTGTGGATTCTGAAGTGCCTGCTGTGGCAGAATCAGACAGCACTGTGGAAGATGCCTTGCTCGGTAGTCAGCTGGTTTCTCAAGCAAGTAAGAAACAGTTATTTGTTCCAGTTCCTCAACTGAAGAAGAAATTAGATTCTGAAATTATATACCAAGTGGTGATGTGTTTTATTTCTAAAACAACAGAGCATGTCTACGGCTTCATGAACTCTGCACTTTCACCAGCTGAAATTCTTATAGAAAGTGTAAGTCACATTTAAAATTTTTATTTACTTCCCGTGTGTGTGTGTGTGTGTGTGTGTGTGTGTGTGTGTGCATACCATGATAAACACATGGAGGTCAAAGAACAATTTGCTGGAGTCTATTCTCTGCTTATGGTCTTATTAAGGATCAAACCCACTAAGCTTTGTAGCAAGCGCCTTTACCAGATAAGCTGTTGCAACCACCCCATGTATTCTTAAATTCTTAAATGTTTTGCAATATAGGAATGACTTACAGGCTTGAGTGGCTCCTTCCTATAGAAGCCCCACAGTGCTTCACTTTCCATGATATCTTATGTATGGGTTCTTCTTATGGAACTTTTTCCCCTTTGAGACAGGGTTTCTCTGTGTAACCCTGTCTGTCCTGGAACTCCCTCTATAGACCAGGCTGGCCTCAAACTCAGAGATCTACCTGCCTCTGCCTCCTGAGTGCTGGAAGGTTTGCACCACTGCTACCTCCAGCTAGGAATTTTTTTAAAAAAAGATCTTGAATAATACTTGTTGTGTTTTTTGGTAAAATTATGCAAAATAAGTTAACTAGAAATAGTATGAATTAAAGAGTCTTGTGCAAATTGTAACAAATGACAGTTATGATCTTGAAGTGGTTTACTAAGAATACTAAAGCAACTAGTACTATCAGACTTCACTGTAGCAAAAATTCCAAATTCTGTTCACCTTTCTCATTTGCTGCTAATTTGTTTATCAGCTAGATGTGGTGTTACACACCTGCAACGCCAGCATTTGAGAAGTAGAGGCTAGATGACTGTGAAGAGGCCTTCAAATACACAGTGAGACTCCATCTCAAAAAAGGGAGGGGGCACTGGAGAGACAGCTCAGTGGTAAGAAGCACTTGCTGCTCTTGCAGAGGACCTGGATTCAGCTCCTGACATCCACATGTCAGGTTCCAACCATTTATAGCATCAGTTGCAGAGGCTCTAGCACCCTCTTCTGGACACCAGGAACACCAGGCACACACATGTGCACATATATATTTGCAGGGGAAACACACACATAAAATAAAAATAAAAACAACTTAAAAAAAAAAACCAACACTAGCAGGGCAGTAATGGCATGTCTTTAGTCCCAGCACTTAGGAGGCATAGGTGGGTGGATCACTGTGAATTCAAGCCCAACCTGGTTTACACAGAGAGAGTTCCAGAACAGTTAGGGCAACACAGAAAAACCCTGTCTCCAAAAGTAAAGACAAACAAACCAAAACCAAAACAGAAACAACAATATATTATTAAATGAGACATAATCTCATTTGCAGCAGGACCCCATCTTGGTACTTAGCATATAAGAAATCTTTTTGCAGCTGGCCATGGTAGCGCACCCCTTTAATCCCAGCACTCAGGGAGGCAGAGGCAGGCAAATCACTGTGAATTCAAAGCCAGCCTGGTCTACAGAGTGAGTCCAGCCAAGGCTACACAGAGAAACCCTGTCTCGAAAAACCAAAAACCAAAAAGAGAAAAAAAAAGATCTTTTGCAAACTTATTTATTATTATCTCCAAGCTGATTGAGAAAGCATTTCTATCTGCTCATTTACTTTATAGGTTTTACTCTACTTGGAAGATGTAGATAGGAAAAGGTATAATTTTAATATCATGATGTAATTTTAATATTGTGATATTATATAATATGTAATAGGCACTCCCACAGGATCTGCCTAGGAGATGGCTTACATAGTATGGGAAGTATGGGAGAAGAAGCTAGAAAGTGTCCTAATACTGAGGGAAAAGTAGAGTTAGCAAAGCAAAAAAAGAGGACATTCTGTGGAGGAAATAGCACTTTTAACACTTATGAAGTAGGAGAGAGCATAACTTTTTGAGAACTATATATAGTTAATTCATCTTGATGGAATAGGGAAGACTTGAGATGAGAATCAAATTAAGAAGAATTTACATGGGGCTAGAGAGATGGCTCAGAGGTTAAGTGTACTGGCTGTTCTTCCAAAGGCCCTGAGTTCAATTCCCAGCAACCACATTGTGGCTCATAACCATCTATAGTGAGATCTGGTGTCCTCTTCTGGTGTGCAGGCAGAACACTGTATAAATAATAAATAAATCTTAAAAAAAAAAAAACAACTTACATGCTGTTAATGGGAGCTTAACTTTGTACTAATTTTTTTGTTTGTTTTTTTTGAGAGAAGGTCTCTTTACATATGTCTGGCTGTCTAGAACTCACAATGCAGACCATGCTGGCCTCAAACTCCTAGAAATCCGACCATCTTTGCCTTCCAAGTGCTGGGATTAAAGATGTGTGCCATCATGCCTGGCCTTTGTCTCATTTTTTAGTGCTGGCAAATATTAAAAGTAATGACAGGGCTGGAGAAATGGTCCAGAGGTTAAGAGCACTGGCTGTTCTTCCAGACATCCCGAGTTCAATTCCAGCAACCACATGGTGGCTCACAACCATCTGTAATAAGATCTGGTGTCTTCTTCTGGCGTGCAGGTGTACATGCAGATAGAACATTGTATAATGTTCTACATTATAAAAAATAAATAATTAAATAAATAATTAAATAAATCATTAAAAAAAAGTAATGACAGCTTGATGTGGTGGCATCCATTCTTAATCCCAGCACTAGGGAGGCAAGAGGATGAAGGATCTCTGTGAGTTCAATGAACTACAAAGTTCTAGGCCAGCCAAGGTTACACAGTGAGACTCAGCTTAAAAACAAAACATGCTGTATAGATCTGACAGAACAGTCTATGAGCGTTACTTGGTTCACTAGCCACACTTTTAAACCTCTGGCTCAGCATCTGTTGGTGGCTGAAATGAAAAGAAGAACCATTTGGATAGATCTTATAGATAGGGTTCATTTGATTTAGTAGCAGACTAGTTACAGCAAGAATTAAAAAGAAGATGTTTCTAGCTGGAGTGACAAAAATAAATGGTAGTACCACTAACAAATTTTGTGGAAACTACCTAAAGCTTTTTCTTTTTATTCCTTTCTTACCTTTCTTTCTTTCTTTCTTTCTTTCTTTCTTTCTTTCTTTCTTTCTTTCTTTCTTTCTTCCTTCCTTTCTTTCTTTCTTTCTTTCTCTCTCTCTCCCTTTCTTTCTTTCTTTCTTTCTTTCTCTCTCTCTCCCTTTCTTTCTTTCTTTCTTTCTTTCTTTTATTTTGAGACAGGGTTTCCCTGTATAGTCCTATTTGTCTACTTGTTCTGTAGATGAGGCTGGCCTCAAAAACACAGAGATCCACCTGCCTCTACCTCCCAAGTACTGGGATTAAAGCCATATGCCACCACCTCTTAGCACCTACCTACCTTTCTCTCTCCTTCCTCCCTCCCTCTCTCCCTCTCTTCCTTCCCTCCCTCCCTCCCTCCCTTTCTTGCTCTTTTCAGACAAGGTCTCCCTGTGGTCTGGAGTGTTCTATGTAGCTCAGGCTGTTCGCAGACTTGTGGCTATATTAGATCATCCTGCCTCGTCCTCCAAGTATGTTACAGGTATGCGCCTTTGTGCCTGACTTCATCATTTTGCTTTATGAAGTCCCCTCTCATTTAATTTTCTTTGTTAAGTTCTAGAAAGTAGCTGTTATATAATAAAAAGGCCTAGAAAGATCATTAACTTTCTTTGTATAACTCAGTCCTAAAGATGATTACAAATGTTCGTTAGTCAGGCTAGGAGAAAAACTAGTACTATAATTGCTATATAGTAATATAATTGCTAAATAGTCAGAATGAAGTCTTCAGTTCTACTTACTAGGGTACCCTGTGGAAATATCCTTCCCTGGGTGGTGGTGACACACACCATAAATCCCAGCACTCAGGAAGCAGAGGCAGGTGTATCTCTGTGAGTTTGAGGCCAGTCTGATCTATAAAGCAAGTTCCAGGACAGGCAGGACTACACGGAGAAACCCTATCTCAAAACAAACAAAAACAATAAAAGAAAGAAATATCCTCCACCACAAGTTATACCAGAGAAATTAAGGTGAAAACAATAATTTATTAATCAGAACATGATATTTGAGTTTCTATAAAACATCTATTTAATATAGCCTACTAAGTATGCTTACTTTTGTGGGCTTAGTAAATATAGTCAAATATATTTTCCTTAACTGTCTTGGTTGAAATTCTTTAGACATGAAAATATTGAATTTCAGTTTATTTTAATTATCTTGTGGTCTTGGAAAGTTACATTTTCTTTGGAGAAAGCATCTTAGTATTAAACTTTCACTATTTGAAGATGAGATGAGCTAACAGGTCACTGGTAAAGAGGACTTATAAATCACTTTTTAAAAGTTATTGTTAGCCAAGCAGTGGTAGCACATGCCTTTAATCCCAGCACTTAAGACAGGCAGATCTCTTGAGTTTGAGGCCAGCCTGTCTACAGAGTGAGGTTCCAGGATAGCCAGGACTACAGGGAAACCTTTCATCAAAAACAAACACAAACCCCTCTTGTTGGGTTGGTGATGTAGCTCAGTGGAGGAGGGAACTTGCTAGTTTACTGAAGGCCATGGGTTTAATTCCCCAGTTCTAAAAACAATGGTAACAAGAAACAAAACAAAACAATACACACACACAAACACACACGCATACTCACAGACACGGGTCAATTGTCAGTATCTAAAATGTGAGTTCATTTAAAAATTCTGGATTGTCTTGAAAAAGTAAAAGATTGCAGTAGTGACGTCTCTGCTGGGGCAAGCAGAGCTCAGGCTGATACCGTAAAGGATTGTAGACTCGGGCTGAACGACTGCTTCTGTGCATCCCGACTGCTTGACTTCTCAGCCCACAATCATTAGATCAGATGTTCTGAAGAGTTTCTAACAGACCTCGAAGCTCGCACTCTGGGTGCAGCTTTGAAGCTTACATAATATAGGTCTGAAAAGCTTCGGTAAACAAAAAAATTGGAGCAACTTTCCAGTTAATTTTGGGTGAAAGAAGTTCCTTTTCTTCTTGTCTAACTGTTTCAATTAGTATCTCACGTAGATTATGTGTGGATGGATGAACCTTCCTTGCATTACTAGAGAAATAGAAGTAT